AGTTGGAAACTGAGACAAACTCTGCAGTTTGTGCACTTGAAAACAAAACCAAAGTAAATTAAAATAATAGTGTAGCTTTGGACCGGGGCACCTAGTAACAGCAATAGTAAAGAAAAAGTACTAGCTTGGGCATCAGGTTAGTAATAATATCAGCATGAAGACAAAAGCTATTTTCTTAATAAACTAAAGGAATTAAATAGGGTTGAGAGTGTGGAGAAGTTGCCTTCTGAAAAGGTGTTTCATGGATTGTGATACATCGTCACAAGTGTAGTTGTTGTACATGTTGCATTAAATAGTTTGGTTGGAACAAGACCATGTAGTCAACAGCTGGTTTTTTTTGTTTTGCTTTTTTGACAATTTTCTGAGTAAGAAAAACTGGTGGGAAGTCCCAAGAGAATTTTCGTTTTCTGTGAAGATCATTAATGAAGTATAACATACACACTGTCCTGCAGGAAGCAGTTGTAAGAAAATAAGCTAAGCATTGTTAACACTGAGTCATCTAGTGTATAGTTACATTTCACAAACCAGAACCAAATAGAATTGCAGCCTTTGAACAGCACTGAACAGCTTCTCCTTGCCCTGGTGGCAGCCAGCCCGGGATCCTGGCCACCCCAAGTGGCAGTGTTTGCTGGTATGGCAGGAAGGGGCAGCAGGACCACGAGATCCTTTATGATCTCATTTTGAGTGTTCAGTGCAGAATGAGATTGCTTGAAGTGAATTAGCAGCAATATTAGGATTTAAGAAGCAGAAATGCCTCAGGAGCCAGTGGAGTAACCAGTTTTTCTACTCGGATTCTGTGGATTTGTTGTAGAGCTGTAGCTGAGAGGTCTGCATTCTTTCTCCTGGAGATGTTGCAACCCAGTGCTAGGGAGGAACATTTATCGAATCATAGACTATTTTATTCCTGCTATTTGTTGGTTTTGTTTGGTTGGTTTGGTTTTTTTAATTGTTTGTTTGTTTAAGTACAATCATATTTGCTGAATTCTCATCATTAGGAAGAAATACGAATCTGTAATTTGAAAGCGTCAGAAGCATATAGATGTTGCTCTGAAGCTCAAGTTTCTTCATATTTTCCCATGTAAAATGAAGTAGCCTTTGCATGAGATACATGTCATATGTCATTGCAGAAAGGCAGAGAGGTTTCACAGTTCAGTTTTCCTTTGCTGGGCTGATGGAGTAGAGTGAAAGTAGTACATGTTGGTCCTCCTGGACTACAGCAAAGATTGAGTGGAATATTCCTCTGTATTCGGGGTAGATCTTTCTTCAAGACACCATCTTTGCACAGTCAGATGAGAACAGCTTCCTGTACACAGCTTGCCAGGAGCATTCATCTTGCACTGACAGACACAGCATTTGATGCACTTTTGCTCTCTACCTTAGATTGGAGAAACAAGACTTGTTTGGATTTTATCTTGCAATGTCATGTTTTAAGTGTGTTCAGGCATCAGAGGTTCTTGGAATCTAAAAATGAAATTTTTGTGCTAGCCTAGTGCTGTTTTTTTCTCCCCTCCTAAGGATGGGAGTCATAAAGAAGAGTTTCTAGCTGTAACAATCAGTCTGTGGGTGGCAGCAAGGGAAGCTCATTGCACAAGACTTGCTTATCACTTTAGGTAGATGTAAATACCTATTCTGAGAACTAGTACTGTGCCTTTAGATGGAGAAAAACATGCTGGAAAAATGCAGAGCACAGGCTTGGCATTTCACAAGTCTGTGTTTAGTGTTACATCCTGAGGATAAGTGGAAACAGCTATACTACCATTTTCTGTTCAGCAAGTTTCTTGTTACCTAACTTCGTGATTATTGCATGTGCTAATGGAACTACACCTGGGCTTTCTCAACAGCCAGGGGACTTAGTCTACTGATAAATAACTGCCTGTGTTCAGCTGGCTTAGATTTTGCTATCAGGAAAAGGGTACTAAGGCAGTTAGTTATGCAGTGTTTATTTCAGAATTAAAATAATGACAAGATTGCTTTGGTTCCTCCTAGACTCCTGACAAATTTGTTTTTTAAAGCATTTACCTGGAGATCCGGATCATTATGAGTATGTAAACAGAAATTCTCAAAGCTTTCTTTATAGTGGGATACTTGAGGAGTGAGACATTAGTGTAAGAGTAGTACATTTGCAAGCAATGTTTTTCAACATCTGATGGTACAATAATTTATTTGTGATTGTATGTGCATCATGCTGTGTGTTTTGAAGGGAAGTTATTTAACTTGTTCATTGCTGCTCCTGATAGGCTTGGAATCCTGCTGCAGAAGACCAGTGCTTTGACAGGTGTCACAGGCTGGGTCAGAAGCATAATGTTGTTATTACTAAGGTGAGTTGAGCAGCTGATCTGTCTCATTAATACTCAAGTCACAAAAAAATTATATGGGAAATTGAAGACAGGTTCTCTTCTGATATAAGTAGCAAAAAAGAGAGAGATACTCTTCAAATAAGTATTTTTTTAAAAGGCAAAAATGCTAAAATGCCAGACCTTTATTTCCAAATGCTTTGTAACCTTTTCCTCTCTGTTTTCTTTAAAAAATAATAAAGGAATCATGTAACTGGGCTCTAGGGAACTCAGCTTTTTAACTTCAATTTTCAAAATACTTGAATTTCTCATCCTAAACTTTTTTTAATAAAAGGAATCCCTTCATTTCATTGAGGCTTTTCTTTGTATTTCAGTTCATTGTGAAGGATTCAGTGGAAGAAAACATGCTGAAAATTCAGAACAAGAAGAGGAAACTTGCAGCAGGAGCCTTTGCTACCAAAAAGCCTTCAGCAAGTGAAGTAAAACAAACCAAAATTAATGAAATCAAGGCTTTAATTGAGTTATAGCTTGAAATGCTGGGTTTTTTTGAGTGAATAATACATTTTGGTTAATACTGCTCCTCAGGTTGCATGTCTCATGCTAACTTTTCTTTTTGGTGTCTCTGTGATCAAAACATAAATGCTTCAAAGAATGTATAAAACCAAATTTGCTCCTAAATGTTAATTTAGAAAAGCACAGACTTGTTGTGCACTCCTCACATCTTTCCAGCATTCATTTCCTCAGAATGTTGCTTATTATGTACAATGCTTAATAATATATAAAAATCTCTCAAAACAGAAATGTCTTATAATGTATCATTCCAACCTGCAAGAATTTAAGATCTCTTTTAGAGGTGAAAAGGTAACAAAAGGTAAATAATGTGTTTTGTCCTTCATACAAAAACCATAAGAGATGCTTTAGCTTTGTATTTCAGTCTTAATGTCTCCTGGTAGCCAAACAGGTCATCTGGATTGTTTGTTGCAGAACAGGTGGTCAGGGATAACTTCATAAGGAATTCTTACCTTTGCAGACTGTGTTCAAAGATGGGACTTAATTAAAAAAATTAAAATATTCGTTTACTATTTGTATATAATACACAGATGCAGCAGGGAGTTCCTCTGTTGATTACTTTCCAGGAAGTAGTAAAAATTAAGTACTTAAATTTGTAAACCACATTATTTTAATATTTTACTTCCCTTAAACAGAATTCCACTGATTCTGTAAGAATCATAGGCTTGTTTTGAAAACACACTTTCTGATTTCTGTACACACTCTGAACAATAAGACGCTGCTATATGCCAGTATGACCCCCTCACTTCTCAGCGGATTAGTTGGCCCTTGCAAAATAAAATAGAACAAATTATTTTAACAGCTTTCTTGCACTGCTGAGTGCTTTTCCAATTCCATACGTACATCTTAACTGAATGTTGATCTGCATGTGTCTTGATTTAGAGGATGAAATAGTAATACATAGCATTGAAGAATCTCAGATGAATAGTAGTTGAATATTCTTGTCTGTTCCTTTTACCTCTTTCCATTTGATTCTGGTCTAGTTAAGTACTTTCTTAACATTCTGCTGCCTTACCTGTAATGTACAGACTCAGAACTGGAGGCACAGGTTGCTATGTTAAGGTTCTGTTTAGATTCAGGAAGTGTATTTGGCAGCAGAGAAATTGATTCTGATTTCCCTCTAATGCCTTTTGCCTTTTCTTGTATCTTAAAACACCAGCTAGCTGATTGTAAGATGAATTGCAAACATAGGAGGTGGAAAAGGACTGAAAAATACAGGAAAGATGTCTGATATTTGGAGAAGCAGCCAATGGAAGGAGTGAGAAGGGAATTCACAATATGTGACCTAAAGAGCTGACGCAGTTTTTGGGCAGCTAACATCTGAGCTGTGGAGAAAAGTGTGGTTTAAGTCTGTTAGAGGGAGAATTAAAGACATGAATCACAGAAGACAGCATGAACCCAGGTAAGTGATTCTCACTGGAAAGTTGACAAGAAAACAGCTACACCTGATTGTCATATTTTTTCTTTTTTTTTTTCTTTTTTTTATATAGAGTTTATGGGGTTTAAACTTTGAGATTCTGATGTTTGGAGAGGAGCTAGATAAGTAATTTGTGATTATGAATGAGAAATTTGGGGTTGAGTCAGTCATTCCATTTTTCAAGTTAAAATTCCATGAGGATGAGATCCATTTCAGTGGCTAGTCAAGCTACATCATGACTTGTGCTAAAATATGCTGACATTCTGTAGAATGGCTGAGTTATGATTATGAAAAAAATTACTAGAGTATCAAGCTTCATCTACTAGATTATGGTTTCTATGTTCCAAGGCCAAATGAAATCTTAACTGGAGTCGGTACTAAGCTGTATGGCTAGTTAAGGTCTCTCCCAAGAAAGCCATGAGTGCACTGATGACAACAGTTAAAGGTCAGAGCTGAGAACAGAGAATTCCTGTCTGATTTGTTGGAGCTGTTCTGTTACTTGGGTGGTTAAAACCACCATGGTTTGGTTTTTTTTTTTGCTTGTCAGGAGCTATAAGTAGTCTTTGGCTATTCATACTCTCTTTCTTGGAGTTCTGATGGTATGTTATGTGGCATCTTTGAGAAATAAGCTTTTGGAGTTATGAACTTAACATTCTTAATTCCAAAGACTGAGTTAGTAGTTGTATCATTCTGGGGTTTTTTACCCCCTACATACAGTAAAGAAAGATGTAAATGAAAAAAGAAAAATGCTTCTAAACTTTTCAGAGTTGCTCTGAGTTGTCTCCATCTAAGGAACACCTCAGATGATACGCTTTAAGGCAGATGGAGCTCTAATACTTCTTGAGTCACAGTATAAGCAGGGCTGTGATTCTTTTGAATAATCATGCTTTGAGTATAGTGCTTTAATTCAGCTACTGCTTTGAGTACCTTCAGTTTTGAGCAGAAAAATGATATATCAAGTGATACTGTTACAAGGGATGAAAAGGGATCTATATTGTTCTGCAAATGCTGCCTGCAGTAATTATGAATGAAATAGTGGCAGATAATTACATACAGGTCATTTTATTAAAAATAAACTACACAGAGTTCAGTATAGATGTCACACCTTTTGCTTTCCTGAGGTTGTGGGTAAGCACTTGACCATAATATGAGTGACAGAGGCTAAGACAGAACTGTTTTACAGGTTTGCCTTCTTTACTAACTGTATTTGTTAACCCAAAACATGCAGGTTTTAATCTCATTCAGCACCTCTCCTTATCTTCTTGTATTAACATAACAAAATTTACTTGCTAAACCAAATTCTCAGGTTGGTGTAGTCTCGTTCTTTTACACCTTGTGTTCTCTCTAGCTAAGCTTAAAAAAAAGTAACTTTCCTATTCTCTAGTACAAATACAGACAAGGGGAGCAAAACTAAGATGGTTTAGCTGTCTTCAAAAAAGTATTTTACCATTTTCCATTGAGTATTTTGTGAGCATGCAGAAGTCAAATGTTTATACTTGTTGGATAAAGTGTACTTTTGTCACTACAGATTGTAACTAGTAAGCCCTCCTGCTTTCACACAACTTCAAACTTAATCTGTTAAAAACCCCAACACAGCAAAAGAAAAACCCACACAGGAAAGGGCTTGTTACAACTGAGACTTAGATGCTATGTACTTTTAAATAGCTACAAGCTACTTTGGTTTGCATCTCATCATAGCATTTTTGCTAAATGGTGACCAAGGAATCTTAGAGCAATTAAGTAGCAAAACCGATTTAAAACCAACTAACTCTCATACCCAGATTATGTCTTCTGCTTTACCAGCAAACGGTGAGAGCTTGTTATTATTTTATCTCTAGGCTAAAAGTTTAGCACCCTCACTAGCTTCCTGCCAAAATCCTCTGTTAATAAGAAATAGTATTTTCATTGTTTCTGGACTAGTATAGAGTATAGCTGTCAAAGACAGAATACCAAGTAATTTGGCTAAAGGATGGATCTGAAATTTAGTACAGATAACAGCCAATCTCTGTCTTCAGCTGTGTTCCTTTTTTATTGTGGTATTTTTACTGCTTTTCCATGTGTCTTAGAATATAATATGTAGCCTGTGTGGCAAAAAAAACCAGTTTGTTTTACTCTCTGCACACATGGAAATAGTAGTTTTCTTCATTGGACAGTAACTTAGTTAATTTAGTCTGTCTTTGCCAAAATCGCTTCACCACTGTGTTTAAGAACAAGTTCACAGTGTTCAGGGCTCATGTTAGAGATGTTGTTTCTTTAGTCGCCAAAGACTCCCTCTTCCCAAGCTCCATGTTGCTTATGTGAGTAGCTTCAGCCAGTATTTTCTCCACTGCCCTCTCCTATATACTTAAGGCAAGCTAATAAAGGGGTAGACCTAAACAGTTCTCAGACAAATTACTATATTCTTTGGAAATAATTTACTACTAAAAGCTGGTCATTTGCTACTGGTAGCTGGAGTAGCATTAGCAAAGCTCAAGGGTTGTATCTGCTGAGTATTTTAGTTAGACTGCTTCAGAGCTCCCTTTTTTTTTTTTTTTTTTCAAATTGCTCAACAGTTTAGGGAAGCCAGAAATGCATGACAACTTTTTATTTTTGTATCAAGTGCAACATTGCAAGTAACAGATAAAACTCAGTTTACTAGTCCATAGTATACAGAACTGAAAGATGGATTCTGCCATGCTGTAGGCACTGTGCGTAAGAACCTGGTCAAAACTTCAGTGCAATTGTGACTGGAAGAGCAAAGCAGTGCTATTACTGTTACATCTGTGTGTATCCCAGTGTCATTAATACATTTATGGTAAAGCAGAATGGCTACCACTCTAGTGTATGAGCAATCCCATGAATTAGATTTTACATCTAAAACAGCAAGCAAAGGAATCAATGCTAATCACCTTAATGAGGTGAGGTAACAAACCCAGTTTCAAGGGATATGTTTAGCCAATTGATCACAACAGAAGAAAATTTAAGCTGAAAATATCTGGTTTTATCTAGTAGGGAGATTTGGAAATTGGGCAGTTAGAGATTCTGCTTCCTAGCTTTTGCTGTCTTCATCTGTAGCACTGCAGAGGCCTTCAGCCAAGAAGTTTTTCATCAAGCTACTAGCAACTGTAACTGACCACCATCTACACCTTTCTAGCTGTTAGTTCTTGAACAAGTCCTTGCATCACCACTGAGACAGGCATTTCTACTGAAGATAGGTATCGAGTTTCTTCTTTATGTTGTCAAAGGAATCCACTCCCAGATAGTCAGCTTGGCCCTGTTCCCACCGTTCCTTGCGTTCTTCTGAAGATACAGTTGGTAATACTGGTGATGGTGCTGATACTGATATGTGGGACACTGCCTCTGTAACCTCTGCCTAAAAGGAAAGGCAGAGTAAAAATACAGAAATACTTTGCATAGCAAAAGTGAGCAACAGGCCATAGAATGGGACAGTGAAGTAGATGTTCTCATGCTCGGCAGCAAGCATTGCCAGTGGGCAGGGATTGTGCAGTTTTCCTAGCAAAATAACAAAGCAGAATTACCAAAGTTAGCAGGGAGAGGAAG